AAAAGAATAATTTTAAGATCCTTTTTTACAGAACAGGAAAGAATGAGAAAAATGGCTAATAGCAATGATAGCAAATAAGTTCTCTGAGACAAAGGGCATCAATAATAAATCTGAGGATAGCTTTCAGAATCTGGTTATCTCAAAAGAGCCAACAAGTGTGATCCCAATAAATGCTTTTGGGTGAAAGAAGAACAGAACAACAGTTCCTATGGTAGTTGCCAGTAACAAATTACTATTTACAACAGAGAACAGTAGAAATCACGTGATGTGTCCTGCTCCAAATATCCATGCCCAAAACAATAAATAGGGGCAACTGAGGTATCCAGGTTCATACCACTTTGATAACTATGGTGCCTGTAATTAAATTGTACACATGAAGATGTCCTATAGAAATGCTGATGGTTTCATGGGTTTTCACTTTGCCATAAGATTTGTGCATGAGATAGGAGAAAAAGAAAAGAACATGCAGTTTTATAATATATCTCCAACAAACTGAAGCGGGAAACATGTATTAATAAAATCAATGCAGCCAGTATAAAAGGTAAATTTGATTATTCCAAAATTGTGCAGGCATCTGGAAGTGAAGAAAAGCATTCATTAAATTTGTTTACACTAATAATGGAAGACAATACATTTTTTAAAATAAACAAACTGCAAATACTTCTTTGAAGAATTTGTATGCTGGTATTCATGTTATTTGAACAAAAGCTGTTTGCTTTGTTTCTTTAAATAGGACCATTTGACAAATGTTCATTCATATGCACAACATCCCCATGAGGAAATAAAGTATAAATATAATAACTTTGCCGATAGGGAAACAGCGGCAGGTGTAAAGCTATATGTTTGCTCCTCAAAAATTAAGGGTAGGAGACATAAGTAATTATCTCCAAATCCTTGCTCCAACAATTAGATTTAATCCCTCTTTTACTTTAATTGTGAAACTGCGTGTTCTTTTATTATTTTTACTTCTTAAGTATTATTATTTATTAGTAATAATGCGTTTTTATATGAATTCTGTAGCATCTGTTATACGTTACCTGTAGTAAGTGATTCTTGCTCTCTTATTGGATTTGTTTTGTTCACTTGCTTCTCACTCTTTTCCAACAATATTAAGGGTGCAGTTTGAAAGAAGCAGTCACCTGGAGTTAGTAGTCACTCCACTCTTTTTGGACATTTCTCTGGCAGTTTTTTTTTTTTAAATCGACCACAATGTATCTTAGCTCATCGTTTCTAAGCCAATCATGAATGGGGGATGGGTGGGAGGGAAGGGTTTCTGATTAAGATCTCTGAATGGTTGTGTATGACAATACTGCACTTCATCAATTAAAATCTGGCCTCTTTACTCTCCTGATTCATCAATTTCAATACCACCTTCCCCTGTCAGTTCAGTTTTTGGCCACCACAGTTAGTCAGTTCTCATTCACCACCTCCACATTCCCCTTCAATAAATTCAATTTTAGATCATTTCCATTACCTCTCTTCCAGCACCACCTAAGAATTTTACCCTATTCCCCTTCACCTTCTCCTCCTCCCCCCTTGGCCTACAAGATTTGGGATGTTCAGCTGTCTTCATCTTGAGCAAAGCATGGGCAGACATTTCCCTCACTGTTCCCATGGAGATGCTGGTGAATGCCTAACTGCCTCCCCTGGGGCCTGCAAAGCAGCAGTCTCAGCCTCCCCAACCAGGCAGTTCCAGCAGGAGAAGGACTCTGTTATTTTCATCTCCTTACCAGGGTAGGGTGGGGAGCATGACAAGAAGCTCTTTTCATAGGCCTAAGGCAACGTTTCTCAACCAGGGGTACATGTAGCCCTGGGGGCACGCAGAGGTCTTCCAGGGGGTACATCAACTCATCTAGATATTTGCCTAGTTTTATAACAGGCAACAGAAAAAGGACTAGCGATATCGGTACAAACTAAAATGTCACACAGACAATGACTTATTTATACTGCTCTATATACTGTACACTGAAACGTAAGTACAATATTTATATTCCAATCGATTTATTTCATAATTATATGGTAAAAATGAGAAATAAAAAATTTTTCAGTAATAGTGTGCTGTGACAGTTTTGTAATTTTATGTCTGATTTTGTAAGCAAGTAGATTTTAAGTGAGGTGACACTTGGGCGGCACGCAAGACAAATCAGACTCCTGAAAGGGGTACAGTAAGGCTGAGAGTCACTGGCGTAAGGTGTGCTGCAGGACCAGGAAGCCTTTCTCTTCCTTTCCACACATGGGAAGTGGGGACAAAAGAATTGCTGTAGAGCCAGAAGGGAATAAACCACTTCCAGCCAACTCTTGGATCAGTCTGGAGCACTTCAGACTCGTTTTCACAGGAGTAAAGTGAGGAGGTGGGAACATTACCAGCTATCTGTGCTGAGGTGGGAGGCTCTGAATGGCTGCCCTTCCCCAAGAGCTGGAGAAATGTGAAAGGCAGTAGATCGAAATGGGGTTTCCCTGTGGAGTGATTTCTGTTTCAGGCCTGTGATCTCACTCTACTTCCAAGTGGCCATGTCTCCATGTCACTTAAATCACCAGTCCAATTGGCCTGACCCCTCTTTGGCAGTCACAGCAGTGAGGTCAAGAATGAATAGGCTCAAGCTTAAGTATCTTTTTCTTGCTGGAGATCGTTCCTGACATTCACTGTTGAAACACTGGCATGGGGCAGTGCTGTGAAGTTTGTGGCTACAGAGAATTTTATTTTCTAGGCCTGTTATTTTAGTAACTGTCATGAGCTCTAACATTCACATAATCCCCCATCTTTGTTACACCAAAACCCTGGGTCAAATTCACCTCTGGTATAAGTCCATTGCAGTTAATAGAGTTGTATCACTTAACCTGAGGCTGAATTTAAATCTTCAACTCCCACAGTTTAGAAGTTAGTCTTATTGTATTTATATCAAAGTAGGTCCTTATTGTGCTAGGTGCTGTACAAACACAGAAAAGACACAATCCCTGCCCTGAGCAGTTTACTATCTAAAGATAATACAGGAGCAGGAACACACACAACTGGATGCATTTCAATATACTTACCAAACTTTTTGATCGGCCAACCTGTTCCAAAGTGATCTGAAGAATCTATGTTCTTGTGACTGTGCTCCATCTGGAATAGCTACTGCATGGATTTGAAATACCCCCCACTTGAATGGTGATGATTCAAAACAGACTTTGGTATCTACTTAGTTAACTTTTAATGAGATACAGGTGATGCACCATTTGATGCAATTGTTGGAAGAATGATCATAATGACAGCAGAAGAGAGAAATATATATCGTTACATGGCTCCAAGAAGTGGAAAAGAGCACCTAGTTTCAGTAAATTGCCCAGCACAGATGCTTCAGAGCTTTCGAAGTTTGTATCTGATAAATTGGCCTGTGGTTAAGGAAAAGTAAATCTTAAACAGTTGAGAGTTTGGGTTTCATTTGAATAACCACTCCAAAGCCTGGATATTTATTTCAATACCATCTGAATTACTCAAACCTCTTGATTGTATTGGGTTCATCTGAATGGAGATCCTGTACAATCAGACTCCCATGTGAGATTTCCAGTTTTTCCTGCTAAAGCGTCAGATGAATCAAAAGAACAAAACACACATGGTATTCGAATACTCTCATTCCAATCCTAGCTGGAAACTAGCCTAGGTGAAGCATCACCTAAAAATAACAAATTATTGGTGGAAAGGAACACTATCCTAAAACATCAAAAAAGTTGGGTTCCTGGATGATTTTGTGCTGTGTATAAAGGTTTGGTTCATTTATTTTATTCACACTCATTTGCTCATCATTACCCACGATACAGAATGGCTGAGCCGAGATGTGTCACCCATCTAGTGTTTCTAAGATTGTCCCAACCTTTATTTATTTATTTAGAGAGAGCTCTAAGGTGACTCAAGTTAGGTTATCCAAAAAATGAGCTCTAAAGGTGTAAGAGTGAAGTCCTTACTGCTTGTGTTCATTAGAGCCCCAAAGCAGCAATGCACTAGAGCATTAATGTGAAATCAGTGGCATGATTCATGGTTCAAGTTAAGCATGTAGTTAAATACTTTACTGGACCGAGGCTAAAGAGCAGGCAAAGTTACAGTTTGGGTAGTTAATCTTACATAAACTTCCTTTTGTAGATTAATGTGGATATGGCATTCTTCAGTTCCCGCCCAAAGCTGGGATGCAGTGTTTTCTTCCCAACGATAACACCTGCCACGTTCCATCCCAATTATGGAAATTTACCTACTGCTGATGTGATAGAAAAGGAATATACATTAACGGTTTTCCCCTCCCATTTGTTTATCCTATTTTATAGTGGGGCTAAGCGTACGTGTGTGCGTTATACATACCAATCACCCCTTTCTCAAAGAAAGAACTATTTGCACAATGATTGAGCAGAATGGAGTCCTTGAATTGGAATTCAGAGACATGACATTTGCAGTCAAAGGACTGCTCTTTGAAAACAGTATCTTGAACCACAGTATCATCTTTTTAGTTAAAAAAATACTACGAGAAATGATTGTGGGAAAGTAACATTTTCTTGCCCAACAGCTCTGCTCTCTGTGTGCATTCAGTCAGCTTTGCCCACTTCAGTGAGTGACTTATGTTTTACTGCTTTTTGTTAAAACAATGAACTAAACTCTATTTCTTCTTGCGCTTCAGCAGAAATATTTGCTAAATTTCTATCTGGTTTCACAGGTGTCACTGGGGACATTATTTGCAGACAAAAGGGGTCTAGTTTAGCCTGCAAAAGTTTCATGTGTTTACTGGTGATGATGAATAAGATGAAAAGAACCCAATTTGATCCAAAGCACAAGCTGACTTGGCTTGGTTGATAGTTAGAAAAAAAACATTTTTTTACTTGTAAAATAGGTGGGTTTGATCTGGAGTGAGTTAATCAGCAAACGTGGAACTCCAGGATGCCATTTGAAAGTGCACTCAGAACTCCACTTTGAATAACTTTTCAAGATGGCTTTCTGTTTTTTGACTCAGCATTGAAATCCCAAATTTACCAAAGGAAAGAGATTCTGCATCTTTTAATGAAAGATAAAACAACAATATAAACATACACAAATTTACAGAGAAAGGATCAACTTTAATACATTTGGATTCAAAGGTGTTCTTTTTTAAATATGGTATAAAAATAAATGCAAGAAACATTAACAGAGAATATACAGACAACAGACAAAGACACAGGCTTTCTTTCTCAGTGTGAATACGTCAGTGAAATGGAACCTGCTGTGCTAATTTATTGTGCAATAAATGTGATGCCATATGTATATTTATTAGTATATGCATGTTTTTTTACATTTCTTCCAGTTTGTGAACTGACCGTATTTTTTAATAAACTGTGTCTAGCAGAAGCTTTTTTTTTCACTGTACTTGAGCTTGCAGAAAATAAAATGACACAGATCCAGCTTGATATGAAGGAGGAAGTGAGCAGACATTTTTCAAAATGGAGGCATCGAAAGGTTAGAGAGTCCCTCGGAGTCTGTAATGCCTTAGTATACACAAAAGAAAACAAGTCAGGTCCCTGCTCATGCAACATCTTGTTCTACTGTCCTCTGATTCAGGCAATCAGTGAGCTACAAAGTATGTATAATGATTTGAGTCTGCTTCCATGCTACAAGGATGATCCTTTTAGTAGGACTGCACTAGACTGGTTAACCTCTTTGAAGTGAGCGATTTCCCCTGAGGAAAAGATAAAAACAAAAAACAGAAAACAGAGGCATGATCACTGAAAGCCTGTTCATCAGCAAACACCTAGCAATTTGACAGTGATGTGGCAACATTATGGGGGCACCAATGGGAGCTAATGTCAAAACTTAAATTTGGAAACTGTTTTTGCTTTATACTTTGAAGACCTGCAGAAACCTGAATCAAAAACTGCCAACAGAGAGATTGTTTTGCATAATTATCCAGAAAATTATATACTACACAGTAACATCCAAAATGATCTGTTTGTGCTTAGCAGCAAGCCTATGGCTCAAAATAGCTTCAAGAAGGCTACTACAATACAGCATGCCTCAGAATGCATCAAGATGAATGTTCTGAACTGCAGTGATTCCAGACCAAGAAGTTACATAATCCACACTGAAGGGTGGCTAAGTGCAGAAGGCAGATTATACATTAAATACAAGTAAGAAAGCATCCTTCCTGTGAGCTAAGCTAAAGTTGTTGGTTTTTTTTGTGGGGCGGGAGGGGAGGAATATTCCTACTGTTTACAAGCATTGTACAGGTACATAACAGGTGCCCACGTGCACTGCTTTGAGGGCCCATGGATTCCATTTCATTACTTTGTTAATAATTCCTGCTGATATAAAGGTATATTTTGGCATCCTAACTAACCCTGGTAATAAGGTGGAATGAATGCCCCGAGGGATTGGATATAGGGTGCAGAAGAAGAAAATCTATAATGCAGCATAACTAGTGCCAGTCTGCTGCTACTCACAGAAGGAGCAAGCAGATTTCAGAGAGAATATGAAAAATGGGAAAAATCAAAACTTCAGACAAATTCTATATTTTTAACAGTAATTACAGGACAAACAAGCCTTTTTTTGTCCTGCCAGTGAAAAGCTATTTCTGTTATGTTTGCTGTTTTATTATTACTCAGCTGACTTACATAAATAGATCTGATGTTGATATCTATATTCATCATAAATTCAATTTTCCCCTTATATGGATTCATAACTCAACTGTAAACTCTTGCTGAAACATGATGCATCAGCATATCAACTGGAGTGGGTTTTCACAAAAATGAAATGCAATAACTCTTACATTTACAAGGACCAGAACTTTCAGTAGATCTGGATGCAATTTTTTCCCCCTACAAGCTATTTGTTTTTAACAGAACACAAACTGCCATGCTGGATTAGACCACTAGGCCATCAATATCCTGCCTCTGACAGTAAGGATAGTTGGTACTTCAGAAGAAGGCAAGTCTGCTCCCAACTACTCTCTCCTATCTCTACCTTCAGCCTCCTCACTCGCTCACCCATATCCCATTTTACAGTGCTTAAGCAGCATATGAAGCAACCATTTTATGCAACGCTTTCAATGCACATGTCCACTCTCACTGTTCCAGATTGCAGATTACATAAATTGGTCAGCAACTAAACTAATTTAGAAAATTTCTGCCAATAAACTACTTTAAAAAACAAACAAACATTTTTATATCTGAGTTACAAAATTATTTTGACAGGTTTCAGAGTAACAGCCGTGTTAGTCTGTATTTGCAAAAAGAAAAGGAGTACTTGTGGTACCTTAGAGACTAACCAATTTATTTGAGCATGAGCTTTCGTGAGCTACAGCTCACTTCATCGGATGCATACCGTGGAAACTGCAGCAGACTTTATATATACACAGAGAATATGAAACAATACCTCCTCCCACCCCACTGGACAGTATTGTTTCATATTCTCTGTGTATATATAAAGTCTGCTGCAGTTTCCACGGTATGCATCCGATGAAGTGAGCTGTAGCTCACGAAAGCTCATGCTCAAATAAATTGGTTAGTCTCTAAGGTGCCACAAGTACTCCTTTTCTTTTTGAAAATTATTTTGTACTCATACATTCAGCATTTTCCTATTTTTAATATTTTTTGAGTGCTACAATTCATCTAAGATTGGGTTCCTAATATTTAAGCTTTAAACACATGATTAAGTTCTTTTCGGAATTGGGGCTGAAAGTTAAGCGGTCTCAAAGAAGTGACAAATCTGTCATTGCTCAATAATGAAATGAGTTTGTAATGAAATTTTAAGTCTCATGCTTATTTATTTATAATTATAATTCTCTTGGGTGAGTGATTATTCTGACTTTATTTGGGTGGGGTTTGTGTCTTTGTCCAGGATAAGCCTTGAGAAAAAAGTAGTTTTTCCCAAACTGCAATTTATAATCCATAACATTACATTGTTTTCACTACTTTTCTTTTTAAGGAGGTAAGGAATGTCATGTCAGTTGTATGATAATTAAATAGATAATTTAAGGAGAGATTTTAAAAGGAGTCTAAGAGAGTTCTGCACCCAACTCCCATTGAATTTCAGTAGCATTTGGGTAGCTAACTCCTTTAGGCTGATTTGAAAATCCCAGCGAAATACATAAGCCCATGCTTAACTTTGATTTTTATGAAATTATTCACATGCATAACGTTAAGTATGTATTTAAGTATAGGGATTGGTGCACGTGGGCTTTGCAACTTTCTGAATACATATTCATTCAGAAAATCTTGAGATAATGAAATCCCTTCTGTGAAGGGTGTGGGCTTCACTAGGACATTAATTTGAACAACAGTGCACGCTCCTGAACAAGGATCCAAGAAAACTACACAGATCAGCAATTATCAGCACTGTGAGAAAGCATTTGTTATGACATCAGACAACAGAAGATTCTTACTCAGTTTTTAGCTGCAAATACCATACTAGCACTAGGTTCTTGAAAGTTTCGAAGTTCGTGAACCATTCAATGAACTAATGCTAAGTTCTTATCCCTTTCCTCTTTGCCTGGTTTTGGGGAGGTATTTATGATATCTTGTAAAAATAATTTTGATTCAAAACCAGGCAAACAGTGGCAGTTTTGATTAAATTACTTTGAATTTTGAGACATGCACAATCCAATACATGCACTATTTTAAATTTGCTCCACAGATGCAGTAAGTGGTTATGTCCAGTTTTTAGTATTTACAAATTAGCTTTAAATTAAAACAGGACAGTTGAACATACTCTAGCTTCACACAACAACAAAGGTGAGTGATGGAAAAGACCCTCTATAGCTCCATCTTGCTCCCCTAGTATGTTTTCCAATCTTTTGGCCACTCTGGCTTTCAAATTTCCAAGCAATGGGGCTGCACTACTTCCCCAGGAAGACTATTCTACTGCTTAAAAATATGAAATGTGGCAATGGTAGCTGAACAGTGTGCATGAAACTTCACGTGTCCCATTCTAGAAGATCATAAGAGATCTACTTTACAAGAAAAATGTGGTTCTGGTCAGAAAAGAGGCTATTTAAACATGGCAGCTTCTTATTCAACAGATCTGCTTCCTTTGTGCATTTGGAATCATATCTATGCATTTTAGTGTGAAAACAAGATTTAACTACATTCATTTATATTAATATATGGAGCCTAAGCAGCTAAGAGAAAGTTGGATTGCATTCTGGCTCGGACATCGAACAAAACGAATAAGTTCCAGTTTGCAGAATCTTGACCTCAAGGTCTAGAAAGCTGTACACCTCAAATCCATTCTAAAGTGTACTTCTATTCTGAAAGCTGACTATTTTAAAAAAGCATGGTAGGATTTTATATTTATTGCCTCTCAAGGATTTCCAGATGTGCTCAATTTACAAAAAAGTTGGTTTTTGTCTAGATGTCACCTCTCCTAAATCATCCAGTGAACAGACAGTCAAGTTGGGCTCTTTTTTTTCTTGTGCATCATCACATCACTGTAATAAAGATTCCGCAGGCCAAATTATGATCTAAGTGACACCTGTGCTTCTCCATTAAAAGTGCATGAACAGGTGTAACTGATTGGAATTTAGTAAACAATTCTGTAGATGAAGCACAAAAAGGAATAGAGTGCAGCTCGCTTGCTCTCTCTCAGGTATATTTACTCTTGGGGTGCTAACAGAAGTAAAAACAATAGAAAATTGTTTGAGTCACAACAATCAGCAGATAGGCTTCTGAATACTTACAGGCAACACAGCTGTTGAGTAACAAGATGATATTGGTACTTAGTTACTTTTCAGAGTAGTACTCTGAGGCCCATAGCTGAACTTTTCCAAAAGTAAGAGGATGTTCTAATCCAGCAATTTTGTCTGCACAGGTGTAGCAGAGAAGATATTGCCCTGCAATTGGGATCTGGATAACAATTACGGTATAATGGACATGCTAAATCAGAATCCAGCTCAAATGCTGTGTTGACTTTAGAAGGCTAACAGAACAGAGGGCAGAAGTATTGGCACAGTGAGCAGGTATGACTGAATACCCACAGGCAACAGATGTGTTGATTAAGGTGCTAATGTTTTATGTCAGGTTTCAGAGTCGCAGCCCTGTTAGTCTGTATCCTCAAAAAGAAAAGGAGGACTCATGGCACCTTTTATGTAGTCACTTTTCAGAGTACAAATGTACTTTAAAGTATACAGAGAAAATTACACAACCAGCTAAACCAAGTAGTTGAGCAATTTTAGGAATTATTTAGGGCCAGAAAGAAACATATAAAATCTTATCCAATTAAACTCCATATTAGAACTGAAGACACATTGACTTATTTACATAGTACCACACTAATGTCTCAAATAATTCACAAACATCCCAGGAACAATTTCAATAAAATACGTTACTGGTTTATACAAGCCAACATTAAAACTCCATATGGGCTGGGACTGAAACACATGGAAGAGGAATGGTAGAGGGACAGAAGAAGATACATGTTTAACCTTTAAAAAGGTTAATTCTCATCAGCCCAACAGCCCCTTTTTATGTTTTTTTTTTCATTATTAGAGCAGATGCTGCTCAGTTGATTCAATATCTCTAGAGCTACTAGTAATAAAAACCCCAAGCGTCTAACTGTGTAACAGATGCACAATATGCACACTGGCGTGAACATAATGAGATCAAGAAATTTTACCATACCCTTTGCTCTCACAGTTATTCATCTGCTCATGTGTTGCACACATGTGGCATGCTGGCAACATGGCTG